GAATATTTTTTAATAATTGGAATTGAAAAGTCTCAAAAATTTTATATTATGTGTTAATTATTTTGATATGTGATTACATCATAATTATAAAATTAACCTAAAAATAATGTTACTTCAGATGAAAATCTCTCTGGATCAACTTTCTGAAGCAATTGTAATTAATAATATCACATCTATGCCCCTTCTTTGTTGTCTTAAAGCAAGTCTTTTATTACTGGTTCAATCATAAAATCAATATTGTAAGATGATTTTAAATTCATAATAATAAAGAGGAAAGCCATAGTCAACTTGATGTTCATAGTAATCATAAACCCAATTCTTTAAACCCAAGTGAACTAATTTATTTTATGCAACTTCCCTTTAAATGTTGTTTTCCACTTCCATCACCTTCCCCACAAATCAATTCACGTTAGATATGTAATATAGTCCACTCACCTTATTTAAGTAATCCTCTATTTATGCTTGATGATTTGAAAAATATCATTTTAATTGTGAAAATGGCATAAGAAGGTGACTCGCTTCTAGATTTATGTCTTACTTTATCAAAATTTCATCAAGATAGTAATGGTAAGAGGAAGTAATATGAAAGGAGTTATCATTTCAAGAGAGGCGCTACTAAGCTCTTTAATATCAATGGTCTTTATAAAGGAAATATCAACAATGAATCATATTTTTATGGGGGTCTATCTAAGATACATTTGACCTAAAGTTTGTCTTATTAATTTTCTTTTATTTTTCTGGATTAATTTTTTTTTCCTTCTTATATTTTCATCTTAGTTATGCAAATATTCCATTTTGTGTTTAGTCTTAAGACTTTGAAATTGAATGCTGGTGTAGAATTATTAATGTTTTGATGAATAAGTGTCAACCATAGATCTTAGAGATTTCTATCTACATCTTTGGATGCATCGTTTGAAGAAGATTATACTACCCCTATGGATAGATATATTACCTTAAAATTGTTCTAACTATTCTAATGAGCAAAAATTTGAAGATATATGAGTCTGCATAACCAAATATTTTTCCCCAACCATACAAGTATAAGATAAGATTTATTGTATCCTGGGATTTAGTTTTTCTACAAGGGCAAACTCTTATAATTAATTACACCCCGAGAGTTGTGGCTCCCTAGAATACTCTTGATTAAAGTATCAACTTTATCATACAATATTGTAAATTAAGATATATGGATGGGTTCAGAACGATTTCATTAGAATAGAAAGGTTGGGACTTATAGGCTAATGATGATATGTCATAGAAAGGCCCAAAAAAAGGGATAGCTAACTTGAGGAAGAAGACATGTCATGTGGATTAGAATTATAAATTTGTTGAAAAAAATTAATTATTGATTTGAGAGATTACACATTCGAAAAGTCGCCCTTAGTCACATTTTAAATTTACGAGTCTAAAGTACTAATTTGATTGATCGGGGAATTCAACATAATAAGCAATCATTGTTAACCATTATAATTCTAATCCACACTAGATTTGGTACGACATTCCTACCCCTTAGGTTTTCAATGACTGAAATTAGAGTAATTGCGCAGATGTTACATTAGACTTGGGCAAGGCGACATCATTTGTCGAAGTCAGTTTAGTCGACTCAACTGATGAACCCGAGAAAGGGAAGATACACTTTGCGATAAACTACACTGAGAAAGGAGTTGTTAGGAGACATCCTCACTTAGAATTACTAACCCAAAAAAACTAACTTGGATAATTAACATTTCACTGAATTGTGACCAATTAAATTGATCTCCTCGTGATAATGCCACAAAGCACTTTGCTCCAACACCAATGTATCCAAAAAAATGCACAATTTGTGGTGAGCCACACTAAGAAAAGAGTTGTTGAAGGCATTCCGTACTCAAGACTTACTGACCCAAAGAACTAACCTGGATAATCAACTTACACCCATTAAGGTTTTTTATATTGGTTGGAAGGTTTTTGGTTTTTTGTTCAAAAGTTTTTTTTTTATTATCCTTTGTAAGATTTTTTTTATGTTGTCTTGAATGTTTTTATTTTTAGCTTAAACGTTTTTAATGTTGGTTTGAAAGTTTTTTTTCTTAATGTTTTTTTGTTTGAAACCTTTTTATTTTTGTTGAGTGTTTTTTGCTTAAAATTTTGGACCCAGCTTCAATTGCAGGAGTTTCACAGTTCAAAATTAAAAGGAATTGCCATTTTTAAGGTATCTAAGCATCATCTGTTGAAAAATAAGATGCATAGCATTGTTGCATTCAAGTATTGAAAATTTTATTCCTCAAATAACATAAATTCTAAAACATTTTCGTAATGGAAAAAAACGTCCACAATAACTGACTAAACCAAAATCCCATAAATAAGTAATAACAATCACAAGTATGAAAATACAAGCATGAAAAGTAGATAAGAATTGTAGTAATCTTCTAAGTCTTGTACTCAGAGTGTGAGAAGAACAATGTTCTGCAACTCTGTCCCAAGTGCAGTTGTAAAGAAGCTTGAAATTTCACTTCTGAAAAGTAATGAAAATTCTCCTGTGATGAACAAATGGTACATAGTGTTTGGCCCAAGTTAGCTGAATTCTCATTAATAACAAAAACTGAATCTCTAAATAAGAGAATGGAGTATGCTCCAACAAACTATCTGGGTTCAAGAATATTGGTCTCTTTACTAAAAAAGATATCACAGTGATATAGGAAAGAGACCGCACCGTACTAAAAGGCCACTTAAAGTTACGATATTCAATGTGGTGGGATGCAGTCTCCTTTTTTGTAGATGCTGACTATGCAACCGTTAGGCATACATGAAGGGTATAAGATGTGTTATGGCACAAGTCTCTTAATCATGTATTTGAATAATACCAATAAGTTGTATACTACTTCACAATGGACGATGTTAGCCAGATAGCCTTCACCTTTCATCCACCTTCTGAGTTCCAACTAAGTCCACTTTTTTAACAATTTATGCAGCCTTTCAACCACAATCCACAAAATTCGGAAAATCTTTTGTTGTTCCAAGGTACTAAATACTTCGGTGTAAAGCTATAGGCCCTCTAGTATATTGACACACCTAACCTCTCAACCACACAAAATGCTCAAATTTCTGCTTTTTAACCTATACACCTAACCAATTGACCATCCGGCTCAATTTGAGGCTATGTATAAGAAGTTTGCTTTAGTTCATTCGATAATGGCTCAATAGGAGGTGTATATTTAAACAAGCTATCTCTGATTAGCTGGGACCGTTCCAAAGCTATATATTCCTCCACAACTAATGTATATTCTACCTTCTACAGTTTTGGCTTCCTTAGTGATCTTGGCATAGATCTTCTGTATTATTCTATTCTTATTCCTTCTATTAGTCTTTGTTAAAGTAGGCTTGGTAATTATGTACCTGAGATGAGACTTAGGGTCTGTTTGGAGCAGTTACAGCTTATTAAAAAGCAGGTGATTAAAAATCTAATGCTCAAAAACCTGCTGTAGCTATTACAATTCTTTTTTAAAGTAAGATCACAACTAGAAAATTGTCGCTGCACTTAATGAGGAGTGGTGGGTAAACACGTATTTCAGCAGTAACATTTTGAAAAAAAAAACTGTTAAAACACAGTTTACCCAAACATACAAAGCTGCAGTGCAATGTCGCGCCGTCGCCTCAAACAGAACCTTAATGGGTGTTTTGCTAAGCTCAACACAAGCTGAGGGGACTTTTGCTTCCTTTATTGAGGACTCTTATCAGTTTTTTCCTTAAGACACTTCATTAGGTCAGATACTGTCACGGTTAATTTGTTTCAAAGCATATCAAGGTCTTCAAATCCTATGATGAATTTGATAACTGAAATATTTGCCAAGTAACTTTGGTCAATTGCTAGCTTGACACTTGCCTTTGAAAGTAAAGACGAGTTTTCCAGCAGACATTTTCTAGGTAAAGATGAATCGTAAAACAATATCATGATTTTAATAAATCATTAAGGTTTTTAAGTATATTCGATAAAGATGACATTATCAGGCTCTTCAGTGAGAAAACCTCACGAAATGCCATTTATACAAGATGTATCAAGAATATGAATTCATTATGAGAATTATCAAGAAAAGAAAAACACCAGCAACCCAAGGAGGTTTTCACCTCTAGTAAGTGGGAAAATACAAACCATGACACTAGGAAGAGACGCACAGGGAGCCTGAAAGGTTTAGTAAAGCCCAAAAAATATGGAACACAAGCTTTGCAACGATGATAAGCGCACGATCAGGCAAAGCTGTTAACACTAGTAAGGTCAAAAGCTGGCATGAGATGAATGTACCGAGACATGAGTAATCATCACAGGCATGCATGAAGACGTGAAGTTGTAAAGATGGATGTGTGTGGTCATGCACATAGAAATACAAATTCAAGAAGGTAAATAAATTCATATTTTTCTCAACTTAGATACTGTCCCAATATAAATTTCTCCTAATGCTATATTGTAAAAGTATTTATTTTGCTTTTATTGTAATTAACAAATTAAAAAGTAGTAAATAATTAAATCATAAGCAAATAATTCTCATTAGCATACATATTGCTGCAATGAACAGCCTACCGTCTAAACCAAAGGCATCAAAACTCGTCTCTTCCGACAAACATACAAATATTTGCTGCTTACGGAGTCACAATGACTTTTTTGCAGCTTTATTACACGCATGCATTTACATTGAGCATCAACAATATGCTTATCAACGGCCAACAAGATTTTTTCATCATATACACATTCTGCTGAAAAGTTATCAACTTGCTCATGAGTAAATTCCTCCTTACATTCCCCTATCCCTAAATTAGAAGCTTTTTATTCTGTCATTTTGGATAATACTCGTGGTCAAAACATGATTGTGAAAAAGCCATTTTTAAGCTCATTAATAAGAGATTCTAAAAGCTTCTCAAACCATAAATAGAAAATTCTGAAGATATTGATTTCACTACAGCTAAATGATGGGAGTTATTATCATAAGAAAAGGACAGAAAGGATAATCATAGGTCTAATACATGTCGGGCTAATAATGATGTTCAAATTTTGACAAATTCAAATTCAAAAATAATTTTCTTCAACACAAAACACTATTGTACTGACAATTTTCTGTTTAATAATCTGAATAAAAATTAAAAAAAAAAATTGTATGAAACTAAAGAGTTGTTGCATAATCAGCTATGCGGGGGTACAGATGGAACATCTTGATTACAACATGGAAGCAACGTAATTTTACTGAAATGAGTTTTAAGAGAAGAAGAAGCAGCTTATAGGAGATTCCATCTATACAGTATACAGGACAAAAAATTCAGTAAGTCGCCCTTCAAGCTAAATACCGCGTGGATTTGGTATTTCTTATGACGATTGCTTGCTTTTGGCTACTCCCAGTGTCATGCCAACATAGACTAAAGTCTCCAGAGATCTTTCACTATTTGCAATAAGATCCTTATCTAACTCTATGGAATCCTGTAAACAGGAACAAGAATTGCACATTAGGAGTATCTTGGCTGCTTGAAATTCAACAATTCAAGGATATAATGTTCAAAAATATCATCAAAGGAGGCTTTCTTCACAAACAAAAAGTTGGTTTTTATCTCTCCTTTATTTCTCATTAAACATCGAATAAATAAGACAAATGTGATGAAGCAGTCTTATCTATAAGGCTCCAGAATGGGAAAAATTAGGCAGATGCAAACAAATATTTATCACGTAAAAAGCAGTCTGTACCATAGCTTCGCAGAATGTACGGTCATACAGCATGGCATTGAAGGTTTACAACCAAAAAAGTAGCATAAAGAGACAATAACCGCATAAGTTACAATTAGGCATAAACTGATGAAATATATCCTAAAGTTGAATGTTCTAATATGCTTCAAAATATGGGAAGGAACAACCATGAAAAGTGTCATTAATCCATACCTGAATCTAATAGAGTCAAGTGGTTTTGTTATGCAGAGAGGCAAGTTTAAGGAATCTAGTTTATGCTTTGCAACGTTTCCATTGTATTGAAGCCTCTCCACGGTTCTCCAAGAAGATACTCTAGCTTATGGCATCATTTATAGATTTCTTAAGAATTCCTCATCACTTGGGTGAACTGATGCAATACAATTCAACCCTTAGCCCAGAAAAGACTCAACTTTTCATAGTTTAGCTAGAATGAGTCAAGTCCGGGAACAAAGGAGTTAACTTGGACCAAATTTAAAAAACTTTTCAGTCCCGTAATTAATTATGGTGAAATTCTCTCATATTTTTATTTCATTTATTTTATAAGATTAAGTTATCCTCTTCTGAATTCTAGTTTTAAATTTGAATGTTTTATTAAGATTTTATATGAATTTGGATTGGATTTATATTAGACTTTCAAATTTTGGACTATTGTAAGACTATTTTTGTAAAACATAAATCAAAGGTTTGCATTCATGATTATTAACTACTGATATCTAGTAAACAAAATTATTGGTGAGCCTAATTTAGCATTCTACAAATCCAAAGGATCGCTTCAAATTACGTAAAAGAGGTTTTTACATGCCTTCGTCTTGATGGAATCTTATGCACTGAATTATATTGCAATATACAAAGCATCTAACGCAATTTGGGCTCAGAATTCAAGCATTAGTATTTAGAAAAGCTGCAATGAAGCCATCAATATACCTGTACCAAGAAGATTACAATTTGTAGAAAATAAAATCCACCACACTTGCATTTAGATCTGAAAAGCATACCTTTTCAAACATGCATATTACAGTGCTTCCTCCAAATGAGAAGTATCCAAACTGACAAAAAGACATGGAATTTGGTTTAGTACTAAATAAAGAACTCAAAATCATTAGTTCACAGCTAAGAAAGCATGAGAGCGTAAAAAAAAATACCTCATCTCCTTTGCGGACATAATCATCCTTTCTCTTTAGGAAAGTGATGCTTCCTACCATTGTAGCTCCAATCGCAATAAATGCTACCTATGGCCAAAACCAAATTCTAGAAACTTTCAAAACTGGAAATGGAATCACCACAATTTTATTAGGTAATGTCGAACACTTATTTAGTTAATTCGAGCACTACTAGTTCATTATACCACAATGTTAGAAAAAATGTGGACTAGTTTGGGTTTAGGGCTTTAAATTCATGGCATATGGTGCTAAAATATTGAGTTTTAAAAAGCTTTTTTAGAACCTTTGGGTGAAAGGGAGGTTTTCTATATATAAAGCGAGCCAGGAATAAGAAAAAAATTTATCCCCACTCCCCAAGCCTCATCAAGATTCAAGCAAGGTATACACCGTCCGACCGTATGCTCCCGCCTCGATTAATTCTAAGTTTCGGGCCAGATCATGATATCATTTTATTACATCATTTGGAACTATTGCTATTAATATAACACCTCCTATGATTGTATATCGCATAAGTTTTTGCTCAACTAATCTTAGGCACTATATCTTCTAAATATTTTTACTTAATTCAACAAATGCCCCACTAGTAAGAATTATGTCATCAATGAAAATCATATGCCAATGCACCTCATTTTGCTCATCTTTTGTAAGCATGTCAGTAACAAATTCAACAAGAATATTAACTTAATGTAGACCTTTGATATAAATAGACTTAATGTTGTTATATAATCTAACATAAGACAATAAAGCAATGATGGAAAATCTGTGTATGTCACGGGATTAAAATATGGAAAACAAACTAATTTAACATATCTACAATTCATAACAAGGCAATTCAATGAAATTCAAACTTAAATAAATCACACGTAACAATAGGACAATTTGTAATTAAGAAATACTAAATATTTGAAATGTGAAAATTTTCAGGTTTTTTGCGCTAGGAAATATTGCTAGAAAGAGGTATAACTATTCATCGTAAAAAAGATGCATGGAAAGTTAATGAACCAGAAACAGCCAACCTTTCCAAATTTAGATGTCGAAATGACAGAAACAACTCGTTTATTTTCAGTGAACACGTTGCAGTATTTACTGTTCACTGCAATAGGATTCACCTGGCAATGCAGAAATAACAAGAAAAACAAAAATAACATTCAAGAATTTGGAAAGGGTATTCATTTTCAATTAGATGCAAATAGAATATACCGTATACAAAGATCCTGGAATTTCCACCAAAGACTCAATAACTCCAGAAACTGGAACATGGAAACGATGGTAATCCTTTGACCATACAGCAGAAGATAAGTTCAAAATGATGGCTTACAATCGAACATCAAGAAAGCGAATTAAATAAGACAAAACCTGTGGAGCAAGTCTAAATATCACCAATGAACCTTCAATAAAGTTATCAGAGCTTAATTCAGCGCCTAAGAGTCCTTGAACTGAAAATTTGCGACCCTGGCAAATGAAACAAAAGCTAGAAGTTAAGAGGCCGTTTGGAATCACTTTAGTTTTTGTTTTGTTTTTTTTTTTATGTTTTGATTTGAAACAGAAAATGTCAGACATAACTGATTAAGATACAAGTGTTTTAGAAAACACTTAAACAACAACAACAACAACAAAGCCTTAATCCCACTACGTGGGGTCGCTACGTTACTTGAATCTTTTTTCTCCATTGCGTCCTATTTAGTGTCATATTTTCATTTAGTTTTTGAGATCACTTAAAACCCCTCAAAATTGCTTTAAGTGTTTTAAAAATCATGTTAATTTGTTTTCAGAAATAAAAGGTAGAAACATTAAAAAAATATACTACAACAACAAATAAAACCTTAACTTCCAGCTAAGGTATATACTAAACAAATCTATTTTAAAAAGAAACCAGAAAACCAAAAAAATAAAAATAAAATAAAAATTGATCCAAAACAAGCCCCAAATGATTATTATAATACATATCTGCATGGTGGATTGAAGTTGAAGGGCACAGCAAGTCTCCTTGAGGTATATCTTTACACAAGTGAAGATCATATTTAAAAAAGAAGAAGAAGATGCAGCCATACAATGGAATCTGCTTGAACATCATGTGCAAGCATATGCGAGTGAACATGCAGAATTAATGGCGCAAAGACAAGGTCACAAAATAATTATAAAAAAGTATACATTGATGTACCACTAAATGAACCAACGTAATGAACATTCATTATTAACATCAACTCCTCAATAAAAAAATTACTATCATCAGAAAAAATATAATTTACTAGCCTATCTCACGAAAAAAAATTTACCCCATCATTACAGAGTGTCCAAACCATGTCATGTGTCTCGATAAAGTTAGAGAGCATCCTAACCGTATCATACATTAACATTGGAAGAAAAAATTACATATCACACATGCTTTTTAGTGTCAAACATGTGTCGAGGCATGTCAATGGCATTTACATGTCTAGCACCAACACAAAAGGAATTCCTGAAGTCTACTATAATAATAATAACAAGAAGAGTAGCTTGCCTAAAAATAATTCAAATAAGAAAAAGATTGAATGGGTCCCCAGAATATTTAGGGATGGATGAATGCAACATTTTAGTCTTCGACTATCTAATGTGTCATATTTACTTGACTCCTTAAATCTGATTCAAAATAATTGAACAACAAGACTTTGAATTATATTTAAGTATTCAAAGAACTACTTGAATACATTTATTGTCTGAGATTAATATGAACCCATACAAATAATCCAGAGCCATTTTTTCCCTAATTCAAACTTCTTCCATGAAGGTAGGCATTATTGTGACTAGCAATAAGTATGTGCAGTCTTTCTCAAGTCAGTGGTGCATAGTATAAAATAAGCAAACACTTCAAATATCATGGACCAATGAGAAATGTGCTTCAATTGTGTTTTGAGATTGCAGCCTCAAATCCCTAATTAATCATCCCGAAGCACATATAAAAGGAGGAATGCCTTAGGTTATAAAAGCTTCCTTGATAAAAGTTACGTGAAACCAAAGTGAAAAATAAAAATTTCAAAAATCACATGAAATATTTTAATATCGTAATGTTGGAAATATTTTAAGATGACTTGAGTCTGAATGGCTAGCCAATGAACATTGGCATATTATGAGCTTGATAAAAGAATACACAATGAAAGCTGTTTGAGGGTATTATCTTGGCCAAATTAACTTCAACTCACTTCTTTGACTGGACAGTAAGTTAAACTTATCCACATGGAAAACTAACTTATAATTTAAAAATGAGATGAGACCAATCACACATGAAACATTTGTTCTAAAAAACAACATAACAATCTCTCTCATGTCAAATGATGACAAACCAAACAAAAATTCAATGATATAAATAGAATACTATTTGATATGCAAACAATTCATGCACATGCCTTTTTATATGTATAAGGGAAAGGCTTAGGACAATATCTCAATAATTCATTAGCCTATATTGCTATTCATTATCCCCCTAAGATAGAGCATATATTTATGTCAATAATTTTGCAAGAGATAATTTGCTTGTGCCAACTCAATTTAATGCTCATACACATAAATATTTATCACATTATGACACTTAGTACAAACAAATTTGCTCAAAACCACTGATAATAAATTTAACACACAATCATAGTTTCTAAAAGTACCCATTCATACCACTTTGTATCATGACAATAAAATATCTTTTTTAAATCATATTTGTAGAAGAAATGCATATTTAATTGTAATTGAATTTCTAATTAAGAATGAATATCAACAAATATTTTTGTTAAAAATGAGGACAAACTCTCACCAAACACAACTAATCTGCAATTATGAAATAATAAACAATATCATTCAACGATCATGATAATGATGAAATGTTCAAATTTAATTGTTTTGAGCCATCATAAAATTTATTGAGCCATAATGAGCAAAAATATGATATTAAAAGAGTTTTTTTTAACTAACATGTAGGAAATTATGTCAATTGAGATATGTATTGACTTTTAGGCGTAGAATCATAAGATAGTAATTTCTTAAAATGCCTCTTAAGAATATTGTTTTAAAAAGACAAAACAAGAGTTGAAAAAAAAATGAGATAAAAAAGAATGTCCAAGATCAAATCTCAAACTTTCAAAAAATAACTTAAGCTAGCGAAACAAATACATAAGATAATTTATCATTAGTTTATTTTTTTCATATAAACAGTTCCCCTGATAAAATTTTCATGAAAGAACATATAATCTTTAATCAATAGTAAAACCAGCAAAAACAAATCTAGCATCACCTTAATCCAGAGTCTTAAGCTGTCTACTACTGATTTAAATGCCATGAGACGGCAGTCAGCTGCACAAACGGCAATGTCATCATTTTCCTCATAAGCAATCGGTCTTGCTCCAGGCTTTAGCTCTCTTATAAAGAATTCATTAAATGTCTGTAAAGAAAAAGAAACATTAAATCTTAGAAGGAAAAACGAATATAAAAACATGCTGTTCTTCAGGAATGAAAAATGATTTATCAAATACGCAGATATTTTGCCATCATGGAGGCTAAGATAATGAGCTTGAATAGCAAAGACAAGAAGAATTCCCAAGATATGCGGCTTTCCAGATAAGATTACTACCGCTCTCCAAAACATGGGATGGGTGTGTTGGGCAAGAACAATGACATTATGAGTTTTGATGTTGCCCTAATTATCTTATTTTAAGATTTCTATATCCCATGCCTATGAGAATAGGATGTTTGCATATGGATTACCTTGGTAGGGTTTAGCCTATTTTTGCAAGCTATTTTGATTCAAATCTTTAATTGAATTTACAGATTTAATACATTTTACAGTCCCCTGCCTCAAAATTCCTGTATTGGCTTATGCCAATGTTAACACAAACAATGATGCTGGGGTTAATACAAACAATAATAGAGAAACAAATAATTTTACTGAGAAAAGTAATAGGCAGCTAAAACTAACACGTGCAAAAAGGAAATGGCAACAAACAAAACACACAAACTACGACTAGGGTGTCCCTACGGTGGTGGTGGTGGCTGTTGGGGATCTAGAAAGGTGGCGGCAAGGTGGGGAGGTGGAGCAAGTGGCCAATACAGAAGGTAGGCAGTGGATATTTGCCGTCCGGGACGAAAGCAAGCAGATAGGGGCTGGAAAGCGGAGAAACAGTGATCAGAAGCGATTCTGGGTAGCTAGAACAGAAGCTAGGCTGCTGATAGGGGGTTTCCGGTGTCTGGGATGGTGGATATGTGGCAGGGAGGCAGGGCAGTAGGCCCGGGATAGCAGATAGGTGGCAGGGAAGTGGTATGGGAGGGCTGAAAATGCAACAAAACAGTCAGCAACTGCTGTTCAGAGCAGCGAAAGCGAGCGGGAGTGACGGCGGCTGCTGCGAGGAATGTGTGGGACTGCGGGACAGCAAAAAAATGGCTTTCATGGGGCTGTGGCAGCTAAAAGGATAGCTGGACAGCATGGAAACGCAAGAAGAATAGAGAAAGGACTGTTGTTGGGGTAGCTACAGTATAAAAGCATGTGTGGTAGCGAAGCGGGAGGGATGCAGAGTTGGGGAAGGATAAACACCACCTCGGGAGCAAATACAGTCAAAGCACCACTCGACCCTTAGAGGAGAATCATCGCCTCAGAATGAGATACAACCGGAGCAAAACTTGCTTGGATACAATCCAGGACGGGAAATCAGAGGACGCCTACAACTGTCATGATAGATATACAAAAAAAAGTAACCCTAGACTCGTACAAAAATAAATATAAAATAAGAGAATAACTAGGAGTGGCTCACGAAGACCGACGGACTCCTCAGAAGATAAAAAACCTAGATCAGTTCGGCTTAGGCAAAGCAAAGGGGTCACTGCTTATGCGGGAATCTCCCGGGGCAGGGGTGCGAAGTTTATGGCTCCTTGTAGTATGAATTAGGGTATACGTATTGGTTATACATGTTCTCCACTCTGAGCTAGTGTCTCCTCGAGCAAAGTCGGCTTGGATATTCTGTTCAGTGAACCCTTGATGGTTGATTCTAGGGTTGAACTCTGTCAGTAAATTGTGGCAGTCATCCGGTGATGTTGTTTCTCCACTTTTGAAGCTAGGGTCTGAACATCTTGCATGTAAAGAACTTGGACGTACTGGTAATGCATTTCTCGTTTCATCTTAAGACTAAATAGTAATTTTACTCTTCACCTCTCGTTGTCCAAGAAACATCAAGTTCGCCCACCATTGAGATACCCTGTTCCTTAACTTCCAGGCGACTAGTTTCACCATTCCATCTAGTGGGACATCTTGGCACTCAAAGACACATTCAGCCACTTGATGAACTCATTCCGATCAATGTGAAAATCAAAATACGGCAAATCAACATTTACTTCAACATCTTAGCTTCTCTAATATTTTATGCGAACTCTTCAAGATAGAGACTTAGGTCTTCAATTTGCTCATTCTCTAGACATCTATAATTTCTTAGATAACTCTTATTTTTATTTATGAAGAGCACATTAGATACGATATTTGCTTTGAACTAAAGACGAGGTTTATGTTTTAATAATAAAGGAAAATAAATATCAAATCAAAAATCGAAACCCAAAATTAAAATAAAAAAAAATCAAATTCCTTAAAATTTCATCAAAACTCTTAAATAAAATCAAAATTAAAATTAAATAGAAACAAATTCACCAAAATTTCGATTAAAAAAATCAAAATTAACAAATAAAAAGAAAATGAGAATGAGAATTTGATTAAATTATCAAAATATCAAAATCTTTTCAAAACAAAGATAAAATTTAATAGAATCACAAAATAATAAGAATTTGGAAAATAATGAAAATAAAACTTTAATTAAAATCAATTCAATAAGAATAAAATTTAATTCAAATTCTATTCAAAAAAATAAAAATTAAAAAAAAATGATCAATCATTAATTTCACACAGTAGTTCATTCATGAAATTCAATAAATAATAATAATAATAATAATATTCAAAAGAAATAATAAAATAAAACTCTCTCAAACTTATTATCATACACTCTTCATCTCCAAAGCCACTCAAACCCACCAACCACTCAAAATCCACTTTTTAAATATTTCAAACTCACCTACACCTACTTCTCATCACGATCATTCAAAATAACTAGCCAAATCACCCTCAATTTCAAACTAATTCTATTTTCAAAATAAAATCAATTCCACCCAAATTCCCACTCCCGCACACCCTTCAACCCATTAAACAATCCCACACCAAAGCCACCAAATTTATGCTCTCCCATTGGCCAATTGATCGCCCAAAATCAGCCTTGAGACCACTTGCCATCCACTTGCCAATCCTAGCCAAATATACTTCTATCCAAGCCAAAATTCATGTTTCAAGCCAAGTCATTCAATGACCAATTTGAAGCCTATGTCCAAATTATCTTGGCTCAATCTCAAGCCACTCAATCTTTGAGCCTAAACCAAGCCCAAGGGAGCCAAATCTCAAGCCAATTGCAACCCAAGTCCATGTTATGCCAAGCCAAATCCAAGCCAACCAAGAACTACCTCCTGTTAACCAATAATTGGCCCAACTGACAAAACCAAGTGGTAACACCCTATTGGCCACCTTCTCCAGCTAAATTAAACCTTAACTGCCTGTTGAGCTAACTTAAACTAGCCCAACAACCTCTAATCCTCCCTTAGAAGCTAACCGAACCTCAAAGTCCAAATGGAGCTTCCTCATTGGTGGCACCAAAAGTTGACCAAACACATGCCGAAAGCGCATTGACCAGTTATTTTGACCTTGCCGCATCAACAACCCACCAATAAAGTCTTGAGCCAACCTGAGCCCTCATACCTATAAATACCCCCTCGGTTTGAGGCATTGACAGATCTTAGAATCCCTAACAAAGCTCTATCAGATTTAAGCCTGAACCCCAGACTAATCCATAGCTTATTTCCCCTTTCATTTCCAAGTCTAATCCGCCATTATTTAGTCATGGTTCCACCCAACCCGAACGAAGACAAGTTTAATTGCCACCAACCAATTCTTCGAATTTGCCCCACCAAAAGCTTCAAATACCATCCAAACCCAATCCACCATTGAATTGTCATTGTCCTGAGCCCTTTATACCATAGTTCGGCCAAATAGTGGGAGTCTCCAATCATGAACACTCAAGGAGTTTGAAGCAATCTAATCGGAGCTTAAAGATCGTTCATTGGACTCATACAACCTTTCCATAGCCATTCAACCAAGGCAAACCACAAACGATTGAGGAAATTTCAAAATTCTTAGAACTTCAAGTGAAATTAACAAAGATTAACTGAAATGGGAAAAATTTTTAAAAATTAAAAAATCTACCATAGTGGTTAATTTGAACATTTGGAAACCTTAAAATTTGTAGAATCTGATTGAAGCTAATCAATAAAATAAAAACAATAAAAATTCAGTGAAATTCATAATTAAGAAAGCAAAGAAAATCATATTTGTAATTTTCTAAAATTACAAATATACCCTTATCCATTTTTAGACCTTCAATTTGAACATTTGAACATTAAAATTTGTAAAAAAAAACTGTATCTCAAATGATTAATATTTAATCAAATAGTAAAATTTTTGTTAGTTTTAAAATTTTAAAAGTTAGGAGCCACATCTGTAATTTCTCAAAATTACAAATATACTTTTCTTTCCTGTAAAACCACCAAAATAAACTTTCCAAACTTGAAATCTTGAAACAAAATTTGAAATCATTAATAAAAAGTCAAGCATCAATTAAATAATAAAATTCATGCATTTAAAATTGAAAATGGGCATATTTGTAACCGTTTCAAATATTATAAATATACTCTCTTCACTGTTAAACATAACAAATGGAATATTCGAAATTAAAAGTCTTGACCAATTGATTTGAATAACTCACTAACAAAAAATTAAACATATAAAAATTACTTTCACTTTGAAATGAAGTGATTTAAGTAGAAATGACAAATTTACAAATACACGCTTGCATAACAAAACACTCATAACTTTTTCAAGAAAGCTTCAAATTGAATAAAACTTTCACCAATAATCAAATGAATAGAGAGTAATCAAAATATACAAAAATATTTTTCCATTAAATAATTTTTAATATTTTTTAAATAATAAACTCATTAATAAATATAGTAATTCATAGAAATTCAAAATGAACATAAAATAACTTTAATATTAGAAGTTCTTTAGAATCACAATCTAAGCATCTTTATAAAATTTCAGAGAACATTTGGATTTATTATGAATTATTAACCAAAAATACTCTATAATTTTAATTAATTCTAACAGATCAATAAAAATTTAAAAAATCAATCAAATTGTATAGAAAGCTGTTAAACTCAATAACCTCCAAAAATAATTAAAAGTTAATTTGAACACATTCAAATCAAAATATACAAAACTCTAAAAATCATAAAAAAAGAAACCAA